ACAAAGTAGAGGTCAACTACACCATCCTTGATCATATCCACAGGTGCCTCGCCGCTACGAGTGTGGAATAGTTGAGGATCTTTCTCCAGATTACATAGCGGCTACGCAGTGTCTGCATCCGAAATAAACTATTTAAATAATTAATCGAAAATAGTAAATTTATTTTTGTGAACTTCAATGAGAAGTTATAGTCTGGACATAGTTTAAAAAAACGCTTTCTGGACAGTACTTGCTGCTCACGTTACAAGTTTCAGCTTTAACTACGGTGTTCAAATGTATACCAAGCTGTGGTAATCTGATGTAAATGTTTCTTATGGAAGAAACTGCAGCACCTTAGGCCAGGAAACGCGACTTCGAAAATTAAAATTTTCAGTAAATTGATTTACTACATTAAACACACAAATTGACAAACAACAAAACACCTCTCATTCCTGAGGGAAACAAATTTTTGCAGTTAATCAATTGTTTTCGCTGAACGAAAGATTAGGAAGAATTCGTGAGCTATATCAAAATTTCGATCAAATCATAGTTTTGGAATGAAGCGTTGTAACGTTTTCAATGAACGATTTTATGTACGATTTTTAGCTCATACTCGGCTTGTTGCACATGGGATTCCTATCAGTCTATTTGTCTAAACAGCTGGTGCAGGGTCTGACCACCGGTGCTGCAGTCCTGGTATTCTTAAGTCAAGTTGGACCGTTTTTTGGAATCAATGGACTGCCAAAAATCGGCAATCCGTTTGAAGTTTTCAAGGTATGTCTGTGCTATGCAATTTTCTAGATTTATAATCGAAGGGATTTTAGTTCTGCGGTTGTTTCGGCATGAAGATAATAAACCTGAACTGGATTACCACAGTTATTGGAATATTTTGCATCCTTGCAGTAACACTGGTGAAAATGTACGTAAATCCTTGCTTCCAGAAGAAGCTGAAATTTCCCATTCCTACAGAGCTAATTTTGGTACGTTAATGATAATATTTTAACGTGGTATTCAACTATCCTTAAAGGTAAAACGAAAACTTTAGTCTTCATCAGTTGACATAATCTGAACCAAGCTAAAACCTGCGCATTCATGGCGAGTGAACCGTTTTGTGAAAAATGCCATCACAGCAAACGATGAAGACAGACCCCTGTGCACATCCCTGAGACCAAATGTTTAATGACGGTGTCATTTCTTCAGGCAGATCAGCGAACAATCAGTAATCGATCAGTTTTTTGCAGCAGAACACACTCTGAATGTTTCATAATTATTGCAAGCCTTGGAACAATAAAAAAATTCTTATTTATGAAATACCAATCTTGAGTAGCAGAGCATCCGCGGCCACGATAGTTTCGCTGTACTACATGAACACTAACAGGCTAATATGCCATATCGTTTGATTGGGCACAAATTACGCCAGGCTGAAAGAAATGAATGAATGATTGAAAGAAGGAATAAACGAGTGCATGAATTAATGAACTAGCGAAAGAGCAAATGAATGAACTAATAAACAATGGAGTGCACACGATACACAATATTGTACTCTAAGCATTACCCCAATGCTCTGACGTCCGATTCGACTTGAAATCTTATGAGGGTTTAATAAACGTGTGATGAATCCTTGAAATATTCTGACAAAAGTGAGTTGATGAAATAACAAGTGTTCCGAAGAATGAATGAATGACAGAAGGAAGGAGATGACGAACAAATGAAGTACATACGATACACTGATTTGCTTTATGAGCATTACAAATGCACTCCATCGTCTGACTGAGCTAAAATCAGATTAAGGTTTGTGAAACTGTCTAAAGTGAGTTGATGAATAATGAGAATGACGAACGAACGAACGAATGAAAGCATGAATCATCAAAAGAATGAAGTGTATACAATGTAGAATATTGCATTGTTTTTTGTTTAAACCCTATGCTGATTATCACAGTGGATAATCATTCAGGTCGGACACGCCGAAGTACAGCCATTAGAAGCGCTGACGCTAAATTGTATGACCGCAGACCTCGTCCATTTTGTCCTGACCACATCAGAAAGCCGTCTGCCTGCAATTTGCTGCCGTTTCTCAGCTGGCTGCACTGAAGCACCGTGGGAAAAATATTA